TTCGGAAGCAAAGACGCAATGTTCGATAATCGGATGGGCGGGGACTTACATCAAAGGTGCCTTCCTCGTCGGATCGCATCGTGCCCCCCACCCTATCTGTATGACTAGTTACGAGCAGCGCACCAATGAGGAAGTTATAATGGTGTTGAGTTGCCCCGTGTCATGCATCTTTAAGCATTACACGACGAAAATGGAGAAATGAAGAAGTGATGGGAGAGGCGAGAAAGAAAAACGTATTTGCTAGTTCTGTCTGTTCCTAAGCAGATATTACGGTGGCGGTGTTACAAAGGAAACACAAGTTCTACACTCTCTTCCCCCCACCCCAACCAATGCCCCCTTAAAACTAACTCCCCCTCCCCCACCCAGTTGTCACACTCACCTGTATCATTTTTGGTCCCACTGACCATTGAGTTGTCGAGCACCAACCACTCGCCACAGCACCAGCGAGCAGCAGACAGCGACTTGAGCCAGTGACACTCTGCGCTCAAGTGACACGATGAACATCATAGCATTCGTTCAGAGCTCTCACGAAGGAAGTCCGACCACGCCTAAGCGGTCGTCCAGGTGTTCTGGTTCAGCGGTCATCTTCGTAACGCATGACATGACGTGCCCGGCCCGGCCCACCTGATCTACGAAACCTCGGTAAAGGCGGCTGTGTCCCTGATCTTCGACTGTCGACGAACGGAGCTTCGGATTCCCTCTCCCACTTGTAGCAGCGGGAAACTACAAGCACCGTTCGATGGCGCGTTGTCGTCACGCACCTTAAATTGACAAATTCCTGCCTATCATGCCCTAAGGGATTTTTCCCATATGATACTCGTGGAATGTGCTTCTCAAGAAACGACTGTCTAATGAGAGAACCCCTTCCGGAGAGGACACGCCATCGTTGTGATGATCACAACGGGGGGTAGGACGTACTTGACCGCGAGTCAGGGGGAAGGGGTCGCATTTGGTCTGACAGAGTTTTTTGGTAGTCGGTTTCTCTTCACGGACGGTATAAAGGGTCGTAGGCCGTTGCTAAGAGAGGGACTGCTATTTCCGATAGTTGAAAATGATAGTTAAATTCTGACGACCCCCCCCCACTCGACGGAAATTTTTTGGCTGAAAAACTGAAAATTTTTCGGGAAAAAAAATGGTAGGAAATTGGGGAAAATTCTAGGAGAGTGGTAGGTGCGCTGGGGGGGGGGTCCTATTTGAGGACAGAATTAGGGGTCGCATTTTTTAGGAAATGATCACAACGCGATGGCGTGCCCTGCTTTCGGCGTAGTGTAGCATATACCGCAATTCATCAATTGAATAGCTGAAGTACGCGTGCCAGTCAATGCAGTTTGACCTCGTACAGACTCCCAGTTCTCTCAAAATTTTTTTTCACCGTACATAAACTTTAGGAAAAAACCTCAGGACACCGCTCACCGATAAACTTTTGAAACATTTACTGCTCCAGCTCAGCGTAAGTCCGACAGTGAACTACAGAAAACCGAAAACGTCCAGAATATTCAGAAACAAGCACAGAATGTCAAAACTTCATCAATCAAATTAGAAACCACGTAGATCGCATTGAACCGGAAAATAAAATCAAAGGAAATACACATTCGAAAAGGCCTCATTATGAGGGTCAAGATCATTGTTCAAATTCCAAAAGTACAAGACGAGGAAGAGGTTATAATGTTGAACATATACACAAACACATCCACTCAGGTGAGAACAGACAACATACCAAACCAGTCAAAAATGTGGGCCTACAGAACAATTTTAATGGATTATTTCACATGATACCCACAACTTTACACAACTCCAAAACTCACCGAAAGATCTGTGTGATACAAACGTTTTCCAAGAATCACTTATGTCTTTTCGCAGGAGGAGCACCTTTAGAGCCGCTGTGCCTATCGCGATGTCTTTTACGATCTCGGTCCCTGTCGTTGTGCCGCCTATCGCCACCACCTCTTTCATCTTCGATATCCCTTCGCTTATCTGCTCGAGCCGACTTCCTCCTCAAATCATGATCAGTCTTTTCCGCTTCAGATCATTCGGAATCTAGCGAACCTTCCTTCTTACCACTCTCCTCGATGGTTGCCTTCACGTAAAACAAATTATATAGGTGAAATTGAGGGGTGGAGATGAAAGCGGTTCATCAATGTTATTAATACTTCACTCTCATCTTTCAATCAATTTCCCGTCTTCACCTGATTCCGATCCAACTATAGCGTGTGTACGCATCTTCTGATTCACTTTCATCCTAGAAAAAGTGTGCTAGGTAGGCAGCGAACAAACTTGGCGAAGACGCGCTGCAGTTGCAACTGCATCGTGGATTCTCGCCGGCTCCCCCGCTGTTCTGGAAAGAGTCAATACATAGGATAAGGGTGGGAGGGGGGGGGGGGTGTTTCCAGCTACCTTCACAGATCTGGTTCTTCGTTCTTCTAATACCCTTCCCAAAGTCATAGCGCAGTGCCGACAATACCAGTCCGTGTCGATTAGGGCAAACAGCGCAGCCCCTCACTTGTTCCGGCGCCGACCGATTTCCGTCGCCGCGTTGCATTCCATATGCGAAACCCCTGATTGCTAGCGCGTTGACACCCGTAGAAAGTCTGAATGAGCCCAGCGGACATCGGTTATTGGGGGACGCCAGTAGGGGCGGGGGGGTAAATTTGGGCTGGAAAAGTTTATTTTATAGTTGATTTTATCTGCTTCACGGGGACGTTGTAAAGGGGGGGGAGTCGTACTTGTCATTGTTAGGAGTGTCGTATTTACTTTTTGGCCTTCTAGGAGTGGTGGGAGTGGTGATTTTGTGATTCTTTTTGTGATTTTCCTGTTTCATGCGTACTGACCTCTCCCCCCTCCCGCTTCGACGGCTCGATTCGATCGGAGGGGGGAGGTCGTACCAGCCCTCAAAAAAAGGAGGGTCGTAAACACTCGACTAAGATCCCCAACCAATGATGTGCCCTGATGCAGCCGTGAGGAAGGTGGTTGTTACATAGTGCTGTTTTCGCCGTGAAACATCATAAAACCGCGTCTACCCAAATACGACCCCCGCAACACAATTTGATCTATCTGCAGTCGACCTTGCAGACTATCAATCCATACGACACACCCAACAACTGACCAAGTACGACCCCCCTCCGCCCTTTACAACGTCCGTGAAGCGAGAAAAATCAACTATTAAAAATAAATTTTTCCCAGCCCAAATACGACCCCGCAACACAATTTGATCTATCTGCAGTCGACCTTGCAGACTATCAATCCATATAGGTCTTCATTTAGAGCTCCATAGGAAGTTGGATCCATCTCCTGATGAGATAATTCGCTTTCTGACAGCCGTCGTGAAGCTTTTGAAAGCTTTTTTTACAACGGTCCAATTTCTGGCCGAAAACGGCCACCTTTTATGCTAGCTTACCTCTGGCTCAGCATCAGCATCCGAATCGTTAGCAAGGAAATTCCATCCTCCAGTTTCAAAGAATTCTTCCGGATCATCCGTAATTGTCTGAATCAAACACAGTTTTGTGATTGCCAGTACCACCAAAATCCATGTGGTCAAATCAAACCTTCATAATCTTCGGCCAGTTCAAAGACTGTATTCCTTCAGTATAACGCAAATCACTGGTATTCAGCCATTCCTTGAAAGCAGCATTTCGTTCATTTTCAATGGGTATTTTATTGGAGATAAAGCTATCACCTTTACGCTATCTAGACTACTCATCGGAATTTGCTGCACCATCTGAGTTTTACGACTGTAATCTTTGAATATGAAAACCATATCGAAATTCTTCAGTTGGAAAGAAACACGCTCGAAGTGTACCAGCTCCACTTCGTCCAAAGTTACGATGAATGGTGGCTGAAAAATAAGAATTATGAAAGGACCCATACAAGGCTCATGCTGAAAAAATCAGGAAAACTTGAAGACTTACCCATTCCGTGAGGTTCACCAGGCACGATGAGGTAGGTTTCAGAGTGCAACTGGAGCGATGTGGAACACCAAGAAAACCGAGCTCACTAAACGGAGCGTCAAAGTCGAACTGGTCGTTAGTCTGTTTCACCACCTGAAAGGAATTTCTCCAGAGTGCTCTGAGAAACGACATTCCAAAACAACTGCAGTGAAACCGAGAACCCGCGAGGACCAGGTATACTCGAAGTCCTTGAGATCGGGTAAGGCGTGGCCGCATGTTTCAACTTAACCTGAAGGTGTCTATGCTTCTGGTGAGATATTTTCATCTTGACACAATTGTTGTCGTGTCTCTGTCCAACACAGAACAAGATGACAGTTGTCCCAGACTGGAATATTCCACGAGTAACCATTCTGCT